AGAACCCTGGATCTGAGATGGTCCAGTTCTGATCTCAGCTCCTCAACTCCATCCTTTAACAAGTCTAATGATCTTGGGGAAGTTACTCAACCTTTCTGAACCTGTCTACTCATCTGTAAGATAGGGATGGTACACTACACTGGTGCTCAAGATGGAAGAGGAAATTTGTGCCTCCTTGGGGTCCTAGTCTGGGGTGGAGAAGAGGACTAACATGGGACCAAACCATTACAATATAATATAAGAAATGCCACTGTAGAGGAATGTACAGAGAAAGGAACATCTTCCGAGCTGGGGCAGGGCGAAGTCAGAGGAGCTTCAAGGTGCCAGTAATGTTTGTGTTTGGTATTGAAAGACAAGATGGGGGAGTTCCCTGGCAGTCCAGTGGTTAGGACTTGGCGCTGTCACTGCCAGGGGCTCGGGTTCTATCCCTGGTCAGGGAACTAGGATCCCGCAAGCTGCTCAGTGCGGCCAAAAAAAAAAAAAATTTTTTTTCTTTTAAAAAAAAAGAAAGACAAGATGGGATTGAATGAGGTGGACAGAGGGAACAAGTTTCCAGGCAGAAGGAATAGCATGAGTACAGGTGCTGGAGCCTGGAAGAGCTTGGCAGTCTGTGTTCAGGTAACGGCTAGAGGATCGGTTTGCAGCTGGAGATTGAGGATGAGGTAGGAACTGATGATGGCGAATACATTGCAGAGCGGGGCACACAAGCCTTCAAATGTCAGTATGTCCTGCGCCATCAAGACAGACACATTTATATTTCTTTTTTTTTTTTTTGCGGTACGTGGGCCTCTCACTGTTGTGGCCTCTCCCGTTGCAGAGCACAGGCTCCGGACGCGCAGGCTCAGCGGCCATGGCTCACGGGCGCAGCCGCTCCGCAGCATGTGGGATCTTCCGGGACCGGGGCACGAACTCGTGTCCCCTGCATCGGCAGACGGACTCTCAACCACTGCGCCACCTGGGAAGCCCCAAGACAGACACATTTAAAAACAAAACTTAATAATGAAATTAAGTAAATTTAACAATAAAAAAATGCTCTACTTTTTTAATTGAACTATAATTTAGGTACCATAAAATTCACCATTTTACAGTGTACAATTCGGCAGTTTTTAGTGTGTTCACAAGGTTGTACACCTCTCTCTAATTCCAGAACATCTTCATCACTCCAAAAAGAAGCCTACTACCTGCTGGCAGTCACCCACCCCACCCCCCATCCTCCCTGGTCCTCATCCTCCGGCAACCCCTGCTCTACTTTCTGTCTCTATGGATTTGCCTATTCTGGGCATTTCATATCAATCACACGAAGTTTGACCTTTTGTTTCCGGCTTCTTTTACTAGGCATAATGTTTTCGAGATTCATCTATGTTGTAGAGTGTACCAGTGTTTCATTCCTTTTTACGGCTGAATAACCTCATTTTGCATGGTTATACCACATTCTGTTTATCCATTCATCAGTTGGTGGACATTTGGGTCGTTTCCACCTTTTGGCTGTTATGGATAATGCTGCTATGAACATTCATGTGCAGGTTTTTGTTTGATACCTGTTTTAAGTTCTTTGGGAGTGTATACCTGGGAGTGGAATTGTGGGTAACTCTGAGTTTAACCATTTGAGGAACCTATCAGACTGTTGCCACAGTGGCTGCACCTCTGCATCCCACGAGTTCCAACACGAGTTCCAACTTCTCCACATCCTTGCTAACACTTGTTATCCCCCCTTCCCTTTTTAAAATTATTGCCATTCTAGTGGGGAAAAGTGATATCTCATTGTGGTTTTGATTTGCATTTTCCTAATGACTAATGAAAAGATGTTGAACATCTTTTCATGTGCTTTTTGGCCATTTGTTTACCTTCTTTGGAGAAACGTTTATTGCAGTCCTTTGCCCATTTTTTAATTGGTTTGTTTGTCTGTATTGTGATAGTTCTTTATATATTCTGGATAATAGACTTTTATCAGATATATATTTTCTTCCCATCTGTGAGTTGTGTTTTCACATTCTTGATAGTCCTTTGATGCACGAAAGTTTTTGATTTTGATGAAGTCTAGTTAATCTGTTTTTTCTTTGGTTGCTTGTGCTTTTGGTGTTATATTTTGTGGGGGGTTTTTTCTTTTTTTTGGTGTTATATTTTGCATGTGTATATCTAGCTGTCCCAGCACCATTTGTTGAAAGACTATCCTTTCCCCACTGAATGGTCTTGGTATCCCTGTCAAAAATCAAATGACCACCACAAAAAAAAAAATCAAATGACCATAGATGTATGAATTTATTTCTGGACTCTCAATTCTGTTCCAGTGATATATATGTTTATCATTATGCCAGCACCATATTATTTTTATTAATATAACTTTGTGAATGCTCTACTTTTATTACCCTAGATGTGCTTCTGATATGTAGTACATTTGTGTATTGTGATTAGTATTTTGTATTTTCATTTTTTTTTTTTTGGAGCATGTACTTCTGCGTGGATCATTTATATAATTAGTACCCTTGTCATTTAAAATAATTATGAGGTGTTTGTTTTATTGCCTTACTGTGCTGTGCTTGCTTTTTTTTTTTTTTTTTTCGGTACGCGGGCCTCTCACTGCTGTGGCCTCTCCCGTTGCGGAGCACAGGCTCCGGACGCGCAGGCTCAGCGGCCGTGGCTCACGGGCCCAGCTGCTCTGCGGCATGTGGGATCTTCCTGGACCGGGGCACGAACCTGTGTCCCCTGCATCGGCAGGCGGACTCTCAACCACTGCGCCACCAGGGAAGCCCTGTGCTTGCTTTTGTCAAACTCGTATGTCACCCTGTTTTCTGGGTTGGTTTTTACTCTTTTAGATAGCCTTGTTTGCACTGTTTTTTCTGGACCCAGACTCATTAGCTATCAAGCCTCACCCGCTGGATGTCAGGGAATGCTGGCTGAGTTTTTTAATTCATGCTCACAGAAACTTGGAGGACCACTCCCACCTGCCTCAGCCCAGACCCAGTACTTCCTGCCAGTTGTGAATTGAGTTTCTGACCTCTTTCTTGAACCAGAGCTCTCCAGAGGTCAGGAGTGGCACCAGCCTTAGGATCTGCTGTATACTTTTTTGTAAATTACTATCCCTGAGATGTCATACTGCTGAGGAGACACATGGGAAAAAACTATCTTTTGAACTTCTCTCGTGCTGCCAAAACAAGCACCTACAAGTGCTGTTTCCATATGCAATATGTCCCTGTCTTTAGAAAGGAGGAGCTCCCAGAGAGAATGGGACTTGTTCAGGTTGCCCAGTGACCACACAGTGCTACTAGGAACAGAATTCATCCCTCACTCCCATGGATTCTCGTCTCGTCATCCTAACCAAACACTCCTTTCCTATTGGGCAACAGAAGATAGAATTTACATTTCAGTAGTCTCCCCAGGGGAGGTCTTGAGTTTCTTCTTCCCTGCTCTTGTGAATAACCAGGTAAGGAGACCCAGTGAAATGACTTGCACGCATTGTGATGCTTTTTAACAGATCAAGATCATTGGCTCTGGCAGCAGACCTGTGAGAGGAGGGGCAGGAGAGAAAGTTCACAGCTTCAGGGTGTCCTGAGCTCTTTAGGCATTTTGGATGAGCAGAGATGCCCAGTTTTCTCCCATAACAAATAGGGTATCTTCTGTGAAACTTGGCTCTAGCGGTTATTGACCAACTTGTTGGTATATATAAACTTTTCCTATGGGAATTTTCAAACAGATGCAAAAGTCGAGAGGATAATGTAATGAATTACCAGGTACCTGTCACCCAGCTTGTGGAATTATCAATACATGGCCAATCTTGTTTCATCTCTACCCCCTTTCGCTCCCTCTCCCCACTGGATTATTTTGAACTAAAATTAGTATATTGATCAAGTTTTCAGTTTCTACTTATTCTTGAAGTGGTTTCCCTCAGATGTTAGGATGTGAGCTCTCATTTAGATTGGTTTTAGCAGCTTCATTGGGCCTGTCGTTCTCTCTCTGGCAGTGTTGTTGTACTGGCAGAATCACAGGAATTTTTTGGCCTCAAACTCTGTTCTTTTGTGCCTCCCACTCCCGGTGTCCTGGGAACCTGTCATGCCTCTTCCCTGTGTTCCCAGTGCCTGGACCTCCTCTCATCAGCTCTCCCAGGTCATCAACCCTTACGTTGGAGGCTAAGAATTTCTCTATATGAGAGTCTAGGCTAGCAGGTAGAAGGTGCTTAATAACGAGTTGTTGATGACTGACTGGATGTATTCTGTTTGGCTTTCCACTCACCTGAACCTCACACTCAGCTGTTTTAACAGTGCACTTGGTTCTGTGTATGTTAAATGAGGAGGAACTTACCTGAGCCTCGCCACTGCTTCTGTCCAGCTGCAGAGTCTGGATTTTCCTGGCTCCCCCTGCTGGCCACTCCTGGGCAGCTGCATACAGGTGCCTCTGGTGGCGTAAGACTGGAGCCAGAGCCAAGTTCTGCCAAGGGAAAGTAGAACATTGTTGTGAAGTGCCCGGGCTAGTCCAGGCAGGTCTCAGTAGGAGAAGAGCAGCTTGAGAACCGTTCTGGGAAGGGCAGCTTTCTGGGTAAGGGACAGGGAAGGTGGGCCACTGCCCACAAAGTCAGGAGGGCAGGGTTGAGGCCTCAGCACTGGAAGACCACATGGGCCCGTAAATGAGCTGGTCGTTGTGTGGGGATTGGGGCCTATACTGACAATAGAGATGGGCTCCTTCTCCCCTTAAGACAAAGCAGCCTGGGGTCAGACATGGTCACCAGGCAAGCAGAGGGGCTACAGAGTTTTATCTCAGCCTCCATGAAAATTGAGGCCAGGAGGGTGGTGAACGTAGGTGAGAGCATCCCCAGAGTTCATGGTCCCATGTGGGATACATGACCCCACCTCCTAGCTCTAAAGACAAGTAATGACTCTGTGGAACTCGGTGCATGTTTCTGTGTGGGCTCCTCCCTCCACTGTCTGTAAATATAATAAATTCCCCACATCTGTCCACCCCTTCCATCACATTTCTTGGTTATTTACATGTATTTGTCTTTTCCACAGCACAGCTTCCCAGAAAGTGGGCTGTGGCAGAATGCATCTCGCCTGACTCCAGCCAGCTGCAGGTGTCTGGAAGAGGGTTGAAGATGGTCAGATGCTAAGGGCAGAGCCCCTCTTCTTCTCTCCACCCCCAAGCCGCAAGTGCCAGGGTAATTGCACGCTGAGCTGAACATGGAGAATAGGCTTTTGTTCCCTTTCAGGGTATAGCGTTTCCCCAATACACAAGGAAGGGAACCCAATCCAGAAGAACCCCAGGGCATGAAAATTGCCATTGGACTTGGGCAGGTATAACTATGAAGCAGTCCTTATAATGAACTGTTTGGAAGGAATTAATTTCTGTGCAGGGTGGTGGGGATGGTGCGGTGGACAGTGTACTGCATTCTAATGGGGGAAGGCAGACCATACACTTATATAAGTATATAGTATGTCAGGGGTGCTAGGTACTAAGAAGGAAAAAGAATCAGGGGAAAGGGATAAGGTAGGAGTACGTCGTTTTAAATTTGGTGGTCAGGGAGAACAGCCCTGCTGAAGTGAGGCAGCAAGCCTTGTGACTACCTGGAGAAAAAATATTCCAGGCAGGGGACAGCAAGTGCAGAGGCCCCGAGGCAGGCACGTGCTTGCTTGTGAGAGGAACAGCAAGGAGACCATTGTGTCTGGAGCCGGGCGAGGGAGGGAGGGTCAGAGAGAGAACCAGGGGCCAGGTCATGAGGGGCCTTGTACACTTCGGTGAGGGATTTGGATTCGCTCTGAGTGAGATGGAAGGCCGTCAGAGAGAAAGCCGTCAGATGGAGCCCAGAGTAACATGAACCAACTGATGTCTAAAAAGACTCACTCTGGCTGCTGAGACTGATCACGGGGAGGCAAAGGTGGGGAAGGGGGACCAACTGGAGGACAGAGAGAGGTGAGGTGGCCTGGATGGGGTAGTAGCAGAAGTGAAGGAGCACTTGACTTGCAGATACGGTTGAATGGACAGCCAGCAGGGCCTGCAGGTGGAATGAATGTTGGGTGTGAGAGGAGGAGAGAGCCCGGGCTGCCTGCAGAGGCCTGGCCTGCATCCCCAGAAGTACGTGCTACCCTTTACTGAGGTGAGGGGACTGGAGAACAGTAGGTCTGAGAGAAAATTCATCAGTTCTGTTTTTACGTTCTGCGAGTAAAGGTATCCACTTCAAATAACAGTAGATGTTTCAAAGAATAGGCTCCTCAAAGGAATAATAATAGCTAATGACATTTACATTGTGCTTTACAGTTGACAGTGTTCCCAGTCATGTTATCTTACTCTGTTTTCGCGTCACCCACATAAGGGAGTGCATTTTCTTTCCATTTTGCAGGTAAGAAAGCTGAGATTCAGAAGTGTTCTGCACAAGAGAGCCAATTTTTGGATGCTGCCACACAGAGAGAGACAACAGCCAGTCAGTCTTGAAGAGCAGCAGCCAACCAACAGAGAGATGGCCACTTCCCCATGGCCTCCCGGCCCCTGTCCACAGCCCCGCCTCAGACAGGAGCAGGGGGGATGTGGCAGAGGACAGACCGCCTTCCGCCACCCTCCACTCAGGCCACCAGGGCCATGGCCACATCTAGCTTCCCTGGGAGTGGAGGCCGAGAGCTTTGAAGGAGAGCTTGACCTGGACATTTTTAAGTGAGTATTTTTATTTGTGTAAACATTTTAAATGAATCTGAAAAACCAGAAGGAGACTATTCTAATTTCTGAAAGTAGCTGAGAATCTATGGTGTCCGTCATTAAGCTACCCAGTGAGAAAAAGGGCTTAGACATGGTGTTACTAAGGGCAGCTATTGAAAGATATAAAAAAGGATTCACATTTATACAGGATGAGATACCCCAATAAACCAGTTGCAAGTGCATTTTCTTCCACTCTTTTTCCATGCATCTTTTTAACATTGTTCAGATCTTACCACCTAGGCAATTTTAGTTTCTCATAACCTGCTGTTTTCTCATAACCACTTTTAATATAAACATTTCCCTCTATGATATTGAACATTGTTGTAATCATTTTTAAGTGGCTGTATATTAACCAGCTATTTAGGCTGCTTTCACATTTTACGTACATCTTTGTGTCTTAAGCTCTTTAGTATCACTTTGTTAGATAGCTTCCTACAAGTAGAATTACTGGTTTAAAGGATATGAACATTTTTAGACTCTTGATAAATTCTAACAAATTATTTTCCAAAAAAGTTCTGCTATCAGTACAAGAAAGTAAGAGTGAGCCCCGGAGCCAAGATCTGCTGACTCTAAATCTCAGGCTTTTTATTCTGGGCTAGATATATGAACCTCGATTTTCTTATCTGTGAAATGGGGACGACTGCCCCAGTCACAGTCACGAGAATCAGAAAAACCGTGTGCTGAATAAATGGGGGGGAGTTACTATTTTAATGAGAGAAGATTTGTTATTTAAAGCTGGCTGCAGGGACTTCCCTGGTGGTGCGGTGGTTAAGAATCCACCTGCCAATGCAGGGGACATGGGTTCGAGTTCTGGTCCAGGAAGATCCCACATGCCACGGAGCAACTAAGCCCGTGCACCACAACTACTGAGCCTGCGTTCTAGAGCCCACAAGCCACAGCTACTGAAGCCCATGTGCCTAGAGCCCATGCACCGCAATGAAGAGTAGCCCCTGCTCGCCACAACTAGAGAAAGCCCGCACGCAGCTACAAAGACCCAGCGCAGCCAAAAATAAAATTAATTAATTAAAAAAAAAAAAGCTGGCTGCAGTAGTCCTCTTAGGAAAATGTCTTTGTTCAGACATTGGAGCATGGTCTGCCCCGACCAGCTCTTCTTCACTGTCTGTTTGCTGGCTGGCTTTTTCTAGCAGCTCCTACACAGTCTGATATGGCCCTTTTCTCCCTTGATGACATGAAGGCATTTGTCACTTTGTCAGCTGGTATTTGGACTTCAAGAGCAAGCTTGCCCACCTCTTCCCTTCTCTGAGCACCCCCCCCAGTTTCCCCCACACCCATCCCTACATCTCCGAGTACTAAGCATGCTCCAGGGTCCTGCTCTAATGCCACCACCTTCTCAGACCTTCTCCAAACCATCATAGCATTTACTTTCCCTCCCCTCTCATATCACGTTCTCTCTTGTGGTTCAGACATTTGTTTATGTGTATGTCCCATGTCCTGTCCTGCTTTGTGTGTTTAAGCTCCTTGAGAGCAGGAATTCAGTCCTTCCTGGCACAGTCGCCCACTCAGAACATCTGTCAGATAAATCAGCAGCTGCTAAGTGCCAAGCATTATTCTCGGTTTTGGGAATACAGAGACGAATTATCTTTGCACAAACCCCGTTTGCCGCGAAACCTGGCCTCATATGGGGAGATAGATCCATAAAGCGTGATGTAAAAGTAATATGTGCAGAACAGGGAGCTGGCACAGAGGAGATGGCACACAGTGATGGGGCCCTGGGACCCACAGTCAGACAGTTCAGGATTCAGGTCTTAATTCTGCTACTGCACAGCTGTGTGACATGGGCAATTACTTGGCCTCTCTGGGCCTCAGTGAGATTAAACAGTACCTACTCCACAGAGTTCTTGATGTACATGAGGCCCCGGCACAGTTCGTGGTACAAAGCAATGATGTGAGGATGAAAGTTGCCTCCTCTTGGAGGGGGCGGGGAAAACTTTGTAGACAAGGAGCCACTTGAGCTGAATAAGATGAATAAGAGTTCTTCAGGGAGACAGGAGTTAAGGACTTTACAGGTGGAGGAAAGGACATGAAAAAGCAAATAGTTTATCATCATCCAGAGAAAAGCTTAAAAAAAAATAAACACAGGCCCTGCCACGTGTGGAGTTTGTGTTTCTCAATGTGGACACCAGGACATCCAGCAGGCTCAGGGCACAGATTCTGATTCGGTAGGGGAGAGAATCAGAAGAGAACGAATGCCCTTTAAGAAGGAAGAGGTGAGGACAGCCTTGCAGGTCCGTCCTCAGAGCCACAGGCCTTGGCCTCTGCCCAGTGTGGACTGGCCCTGGGTGGGGCACCAGGCTGAGTGCGGGGCACCAGGCTGAGTCCAGGCCACAGGCTTTCCCTGAAGCAAAAGTCAGTGATTTTCCTGTTGTGGCATCCACAGCGATACAAAGAGCTTTATTCAGAGGTGCCTACCTCCACACTGCCTTGTCTTCAAAAGAGTCTTGTTTTCTTAGGACAGATTCATCTCTTAGATGAATGTTTGGCGTTTCCTTTCACACGGTTTAGCGAGAGATGCAGGTCCAGATAGACATTCTGCCCCCCTTGCTCTCCCCAGTGAGCCTCAGGGTCCAACAGGCACCTCGGGAGATCCCAGAAGGGTCAGGCCGGTGGCCACAAAGAGAAGGGCAGAGGTGGGGTGTGTAAAGACTGGAGTCCTGGAGGCCTGCTGCCAGGTGCTGGGCAGCTGGCATGGTTACGGGAACTGGTGGGAACTGGCGGGGCTCTGAGGATAACTTTAGGGCGAGTCTGGCCTCACCACTCAACATAAGAGAGGGCACACCTGTGGAATTTCCTCCTGCAAGGCCCTCAAGAGAACTGAAATTCTGAGCTCACTGCCAAAGCTGGCAGCTCTCACTTCACCCCTGGTGCCTCTGAGCACAAACCTTCAGGGAAAGCCAGGAAGAACGAGGGCAGACAAGAACAGGACTCAGTCACTGACCTCATTCCGCACTTCTCCCACTCCCACATCTGCCAGCTCCCCACCTACCCTCTTCCCTCTGTCCTGCCTCCTCTGCCCCTGAACCCAAAAGAGACATGAATGAAAACAAAATGACCAGAAAACTGGGCAGGCAGTTCTTGCTCTGGGCGCACTAGGCTCTCCTTTGTGTGGGCTCTGTAGTTCCTTAGAACGACCTTGTTTGGGGGACGTGGCATTGCACTCTGCAGGGATCAATGGATTGATCGGCAGACCAAGAAATCACAAGCTCTGGGTGTCGGATCCATTTTACTCACATAAACCGTGAGCTTATGTGCCATAGGCTGGGACCCGAATCTGGGGGAAATCTGAGCTCTGAAGCCAGGAGAGAGAGGCCCGCCCGGAGTAGCAGAAAGAGAAGCTGGTCTTGAGTGGTGGTTGGCAGACTCGGGCTGTACAGGAGCCAGCCTGCACCTGGTTTTGTACAGCCGATGAGCTTTATATTTTTAAATGGTTGGGAGAAAACTCAAAGGAAGAATATTTTGTAACACGTAAAAAGTATATGACATTCAAATTTCAGTGTCCATCAATGAAGGTTTGTTGGAACCGAGCTGTGTCTGTGCCTGGCTACTCCTGTACAGCAGAGTGGAACAGCTGTGACAGTGGCCACACGGCTCACAAAGCTGATGATGTTCACCCTCTAGCTCTTTACAGAAGTTTGCCTGTCCCTGCTCTTGTGCATTTTTGTGCGGGTGTAGTCTGGTGGAGGAGATAATAATGCGGGCAAACTAAAAGGGAGCTTTCTGAGTGTTTCCTAATTTGCTTTACAGGTACCAGCCTGTGTAATCCTCACAGCAGCTGTGAGAATAAGAGCTGTACCTGCCAGAGCACACCCGGTTAGAAAGAGGTGGTGCTGAGATCTGCATCCGCTGGCCATCTCTGGAGATCACCATGAGACAGGGTCCCTGGTGACCGCCCGGGGAAGGGGCAGGTGCAGCGCCGTGGAAGGTCAGAGGAGGGCAGAGGCAAAGAAGGCCATGGAAATGGTAAGACTCAGATGCACAGGGCTGTGAAGGAAGAGCCTTCCAGGTGGAGGGTGTTCCAGGGTAAAGGCTCGGGGCTGGGGGCCAGTGGGACTTGCTGAGAAGGGGAGGGTCTGAGTGTGGAGCCGAGAGGCAAGGACATGCCCCAGTGTAGGGTCGCAATGAAGATGCAGCTCTGGGCCTGGGTTCAGATCCTTACCGTACCACTCAAAGCCATGTGTTTGGGGCAAGTTGCTTAATTGTAATAACAGCACGTACCTCTTTGGGAGATTGGAGGGTAAACAGATTTATAAGTGTGAAGTGTTTAGAAGGGTGCCTGGCGCTTAGTACCATTGTTATTTTGCTTATTGTTGTTAAGCACAGGACGTGACTGCAGGTTGGCCCAAATAAAGGCCTGATATTTGAAAAACAAGAGCACAAGTGGGGGCTTGTGCTTGGGGCATCCCTAGTAGAAAGTGTGGGATTGGAGCAGGGAAATCCAGAGGAGGCAAGCTGCTGTGGAGAGTTTGTTTTGGGGACCCCCACAAGGCTCTGGAGAGAGAAAGGCAGAGACTAGAAACAGGGGGCCAGGGAAGGGGCCGGGGTTCTCTCACGTCCAGAGGATGCACCGGATGTGTGTGATTCAGCCTTGTTACAACCTTGCAAGTCTGTGTGGTCGTCCCCACTTCACAGAGGGGACGCCAAGGCTTGGAGAGTTGCCACAGCTGTAAAAGTATCTCAGAAGCACCTCTTGAGACTGGCCACAAGCTCACAGGCCCTGCCCACTCCCGGCTGTCAGTGGTCATGTTTCTTTGTAACCATATGTGCCGGGGTCCCTTGGTGCCACGGGGCCTCCCTGTGGGTAATCACTGCCCTGGGGAGGTGAGGCCAGTGCTCCTGCCTTGGCCCAGGCCATGGGGCAGTGGCTAGACAGGCTTCCTGGTGTGACAGGTCTGCCCAGAGCAAGTCGACCAGGCTGCTGGTGGTGCCAGGAACACCTTCATTCAGTGGGGGCCTAGGGTGGCTCTGGAGCCCAGAGGGTCAGTCTCAGGATGAAGAGTGTGTTCACTCACTCAGCTCTCGGGCACTCCCTCTGGCACTGACCCTGACTTCCTCTGTGGCTTTTTTCTGCTGCCCTGTGCTGGCCCCTGTCCTGGGGGACTGGGAGAGTAGAGAGCCTGCTCTGTGCCAACCACAGTAGTGGGCATTTTCTTGTGTATAGAGACACTGTTACTGGAGCTTGGGAACAGAGGTTCTGGAGTCAGAGGACAGACCTGAGTTTGAATCCTGGCTCTACCCGTTCCTATGTGATGGGGGTGGGAGCCGGGTGGGGTAGGGCTGGGGTAGGGTGAGGGTGGGGGCAGGGCAGGGATGCTTCCACCTCTCAGCCTATTTGCTCATCTGCAGGAGGGGGAGTAATGGAACCCACCTCACAGGCTGTGCTGAGAATTAGGCACAGAGCTTAGCTCAGGCCTCCTTAGTCTTCATAGCCTGTTTTCCTGGTGAGGAAACTGAAGCTCAGAAATTTGCCCAGGGTTGGGGGTGGGCATATGGTGGGGCTGGACAGCCAGAACTTAGGGCCTTCACCTTTGACCAGGACAAGAGGAGCCGCCCCGCCATTATGCACCATGTTCTGCACAGCTTTTCTCGCCACAGCCCGAGGAGCCCGAGGAGACGCCAGGCAAGGGGCCAGGGGCCTCTGCTTGCTGCCCAGGCCTCAGTGAGTAGCGCTTGCTCTGTCGTCCCACTCCTGCCAGGTGACAGATACTGTGGATAGGCGCCTGCCTGTCCACAGACGTGACCGGTGCTTTTGCGGGGGCAGGACCGAGAAGTCTCCAATGAAGACCTTGGTTCAAGGCCTGGTTCTCTGCTTTAATGCCCGCTGGGTGTCCCCAGCTGGCAGATTCTGTGGTGGTCACAAGGCTGCCCGTCCACGGGGCCTCAGCATTCTGGGCCTGCCCTTTCCTCTGACACTCACCCCAAAGGGCCCAAAGCCTCCATCCCGCATGCTCCACAGAGCCCAGCAACTTACCCAAGATTTCATGTAGATGCTTAGGGTTTAAAAGAAAAAAAAATCCAGCTGGGGGAAGTGTGGAAGGCGGGGGCAAAATAGCTTAAGGGGATTAAGAGGTAGAAACCTCCAGTTATAAAACAAGCCACAGGGATGTAATATACAGCTCAGGAAATATGGTCAGTAATGTGATAACTTTTTATGGGGACAGGTGGTTACTAGACTTATGCTAGTGATAGCTGTTTTTTTTTTTAAGATTTTTTAAAATTTTATTTATTTATTTATTTTTGGCTGTGTTGGGTCTTCGTTGCTGCATACAGATTTCTCTAGTTGCGGTGAGTGGGGGCTGCTCTTCGTTGCGGTGCACGGGCTTCTTATTGTGATGGCTTCTCTTGTTGCGGAGCATGGGCTGTAGGCACACGGGCTTCAGTAGTTGCGGTGCGTGGGCTCAGCAGTTGTGGCTTGCGGGTTCTAGAGCGCAGGCTCAGTAGTTGTGGCGCATGGGCTTAGTTGCTCCGCGGCATGTGGGATCTTCCTGGACCAGGGCTCGAACCCACGTCCCCTGCATTGGCAGGCGGATTCTTAACCACTGTACCACCAGGGAAGCCCTGGTGATGGTTTCTTAATGTAGGCAAAGCTCAAATTATGCAGTACACCTGAAACTGACATAATGTATGTCAACTATATTTCAATTAAAAAAAAGACATCCAGCTCAGTCTTTGCCTTTAAGCCAGAACAATGTTATTACTAGTATTAATGTGGGTCTAAATCATTTTGTGCTTTGTTTGCTCCTCCCAGTCTGTTTATTTTTCTCCCCTTTGTCACTCTTTTCTTTTCTACCTGTTTGGAGCTTAAATGCTATCTCTGTTAGTTCGGGATTTCCCTCGATACCCAGGCTGCCAACAGTCTGCCTGTGCCCTTGTGCTCTGACTCTTGCTCCCATTAGTTCTCCATTGTGCTCACTTCTTGTCTGTTTGCTGTTCTCTTTCCCTTTCTCCTCATACATTCACACTAAGGGTACAGCAGCCTTTTACTTAACCTCTGGGTAGCACAGGGTTAGGGGGGACTCAAGTTGCTGAGCTTCTTAGAGCCGCCCTGAGAGTTTTCTCCCTGCCCACATCCCCCCTTAGGTCCTAGCTTCTTTGGTCCTCTCTGGCTCCAGGTCTCCCTCCAGAGTCCCACCCCCACCTCTCACCAGCCTGGACCACCTACCTGCTCTCCCGCCATCACTATCCCTCCCTTGCCCGTTTCTCTCCTTGGATGTCTCCCTATCTGAACTCTGTGGTTAAATCTGCTTACTGGTTCCCTCTCTCCCTTTAAGCTCCACAAGGGTGTCCCATGCACCACTGTACCCCAGGGTCTGGGGCACAGAGCAGTGAAGACCAGGAGAGAGCGGGTGGGTGGATGGTGGCAGCTGAGTCTGCAGGGGAAGCACCCACCTGTCAATCCCAGTGGGACTGGTGCAGTGAAGAGGAAGAGAGGTCTCCTGGGATCCCACCCCACCCAGGTGCAGGGGCACAGACTGCCCACCCTCTGGGTCCCAGAGAAAAAACCAGACTCAGGGGAGCAGGCAGAGTAACGTACTAACATTTTTAATACAGTCTGATCAGATCAACTCACATCACAGGGTCAACCTTGGCTTGCTCACGTGTGATACAACCGAGGTGTATGATGTCCCCACCTGCCAGCTCTCCTGCCTTCCAACAGCACTGAAACCCCCTCCCTCCCTGACCAGACTGGCATTTTTAAAATTTTGCATAAAACTATTTCTTCCATAGACTCCAAACAATCAACTAGCCAAGTTAATTATGGTACATCTAAACAAAGTTTAATCCTAAACCCTAACGTGTGACTGCGGTTTACAAAGAGCTCTGTATCACCTGGGATAGCTTTCAGTAGCAATTCACTACAACTGGTCCTAAAAAATAATAACAATAATAATAATAATTAGAGAATTAAAACCCAACAGCAAGTTGAATGGTTAAAATCACCTAAGAACTGAAATTTGGGGTAGGAGTGTCCTCGATTGCTAAGCTTGTCCTAGTGGCAAAATGCTAGCCTTCAAGCAGGGCTCAGAAAGGTCTGGGGCCCTCCGGGTCAAAGGTCAAGCTCAGGGGGCTCTCAGAGGACACTCACCCCATGGTCCACGGGATGCTGTAGGCTTCCAGCTTCCTTAAAAACAGTTGGGCATCAGCATTGTGTAAGTGGGCGGAGACCCTACTGTGGTATCTTTTGAGGGAGATGAGAAGGGGGAATGAGGGATTAGAGAAGGGGCAGGAGACCAAAATCACAGAGGTCCCAGAATGCTGTCAGGTGCAGGTGTGGAATTGGGGTCACTAGCCCGAGCACCAGGAGCTCCAGCTTCCGCCTGTTAGAGAAACCAGCCCTGGTGTTGCCTTGGAGGCCTGTGTAGTGTTTTCTGCCCTCATCCCATACCGGGTCTCAGATATTTCTGCCGAGTATCAGATGAGAATCTATTTCTAAAGACCATTGGGGGTTAGGGGTGGGTGACAGGGCTGGAGGGGGAGTTAAAAACGAATAAAAATCTCTCAGCTACAGAACCCAAAGACACCACTTCCCTCCGCATTCACAGCATTTCTCAGCGGTCCCCGGTGGCCGTTTCTGCGGGGACGCAGCATCTGCCTCACTTGCCCTCAGGCCCCATGGGCTGCTGGTCGACCTCAGGATCTACCAGAGATGATGCAAACGCCGACTGAACAATCTGAAACCCAAAGGACTCAAGGAGAGACATGTTCTGCTGGGGAGAGAAAGGCGAGCCAAGGGCAGGGCCCAGGTCCCCCAGAGGGCCCCCGAGGGCCCGGACATGCACCTTCTGGATGTGTTTGTTCAAGTAGGACTTGGAGCGGAAGAAGCTCCCGCACTCGGGGCAGGGGTACTTCTTCTCCCCGTCAGACTCCATTTTGTTTTTGGGGACCGCCATGTCACAGGAGAAGGATCCATTGGTGCTCTGTTTCTCGGGCGTCTTCAGGTCGCTGGCATCCGAGAGGTCACCGTAAGAGTCGGAGCTCTCAATCGGATCCTGATGTGAGCATTTCTGGCCTTCTAGGAGGAAACAGAACACAGAGGAGCGGTGAGGCCAGGCTATGGGGATGCCCCCTCGGAGGGGTCGCCAGGGGCCAGCTCACAGGCTCGTGGAGGGCAGCCGATGGCCAGCCACCGCCCAGCAGAACCCACAGAGGTTCAGCTGGTCAGTCAGGGAGCCTGGTGTGCCTACAGGGGTGAGACAGCAGGGCCTGGGGCTGCCAGCCTCCCTCGCCGCGGACTCTTCATGCAGGCGCACGTGTACTGCTCACCACCATCTCGGCCTGCTTCAAGGAAGGGTATGGAGAGGGGACCTCCTCTGTCTCCACCCAGGACAACCCAAGACCCCCAGCTCCTAGGTGCTCTCTTGGGTGCCTCTGAGGGTAAAACAGCTGTTGTGATGATGCTGAGCAGGTACGTCAGTGGCCTCACCTCTGCACCAGACTGGCTGCACCCTAGCAAGCCAGAACCAGAGCCGTGGGCTCCTCAACCCAGGCAGACCCTATCGACGGCTGAGTCAAAGCCAGTCCTTTTCCCAACGCTGCAAACACAAGCCCTGCCCTCACTGCCTCTGCCTGCCAGAAGCCTTCCAGGCCAAGTTGCCAAAGCACACAGCTTAGAAGGAACTAAACAACTCAATCGGCCAGCTGTCCCTACGCAGGGCCCAGAACAAGGTGGTCCTCGAGACAGCCCTCACTGATCTGCCTTGCCCGGCCCACACGTGAAGCCTCCACAATGAGCTCCTTCCTGCCTGGGTTCAGAGCGCCATGCCGGGAAGGGAAGTCTGTGATGGGAGCGTGGAGCATGCCATCTCTGCCATCTGCCAAGCCCCTGGCGTCATCCCCAAGGCAACGACGACTTGAAAAACCACAGAACAACCCGAATCAACAAGTGGAGGTGGGGCCTAGGGAGCTCTACGCAAACCAACTCGGAGTCGGCACCATGCATCTCACAAACGCGGCCAGAGGCTCTCCGGAAAGGGCTGGTCACAGCAACCAACCACCCCTACCGAGGGGGAAGCCAGACCTTGGCTCCCTCTGCCCACAGGGTCAAAGGAGAAGAAAGCATTCAGCCACAGCTCCACGCCATCCTTAAAGGGCCACAGGCAATGGACAGGCCCAGAGGCTCATCATGCAGGGCTCCTCTTCCTGCCCTGGGCCCGGGGTGTCCCTGCAGGGCTCTGGACGTGGGGGCTGGCCAGGAGCGAGGAGGGTGCTGGGGAAGAGGAGGCGGGGGCTGGATCTCGGCAGGGCCCTAAAGCCTCACTCACCGCCCTGGAGTGAGATTCCCCACTGTGACTTTTGTCCTGGAGGCCACTGCCACTCAGATCTCGAGCCTCCTTGAGGCAGCCAGCAAGCCGGCAGCCTTCACGCCTCCCCACGCCCGGCCCAGCGCCCCCACAACACAGCCTGCGCAGAGAAGCAAAGTGCAGAGCAAGGGGTCGCTTGCCTTTGTTGCCATAGGTCCTGGCGCAGTGGAACGCTGCTCCCCCATTCGGGATGGGCTCCTGGTGCCTGGAGACCTGGGGAAGGGGAACACCGTGGTGGGTTTTAACATGGACCTTTAAGTAGGAGGCAGAGGAGAAACCTAAACAAGACAAAAGGAGATGAGATCCCGCAGCCGGCACACAGACACCTCTCTGCTTCCCCCACGCCTCTCCTCTGGCC